TTATGGCACAAGATTCAATTTGGTTGTGTAGGGGACTGGAGACCGTTGGCGCAATGGTTTCAAAGTTTGGCCATACAGTGTATTGAGCCTTGTGTGTCTGGTGGTTCATGCATACTGCTTTCACATTTGCCGGGCGACTTGATTGGCTGGAAGATCAGTCATTGCTACATCAGCAACAAGGGGAGTGGTGTGCTGTCCATATCTGTATACTGGAGAGACACATTGCGAGGTTGGGCAATCGCATTGATTCCCTCGAGACTCGATTGAGTGCTGCTGAAAAGTTTGGTGAGTCCTGGTTACATTTGCTTGGAGTGAAACTGTCTCAGTTACGTAAATTGCTTTGGTGCAAGCGCCGGAGACGTGATTGCCCGCATTTGCTTGCAGTATGAGTGCTTGGGAAGATCTCAGATCTGTTGATTTACGTTTTGTGGCTGCTGCGCAGAAGCTTTACAAGACACCTTTGCATTGGCATGGAGCCTTTGATGATTTGCAAGGAGCTTGTGATCTCGTTTCAGAATTATTGAGTGCACAGCTGAGTCCTGACGTTCTCAAAGGGATTGGTCTCCAATTGTACACATGGAAGGAACGAATGGAGGAGCATGGTCCTGGGCCAGTCAATTGCTCTGCAGGTCGATTGCTGAGCGCCCTTCTAAGATTCAGCGGACATCGCCGTCTGTGGGCGAGGTATTTGAAGAGCTGGTGGCGGGAAGTCCGAGTATCTCATCTCATCGCGCTCTGAAATCTCGGAGGCGTACAGGACAATCTGCTGAAGAGCTAGAGCGGGCGCTCAAAGAGAAATGGAGTTTGGTCCTTGTAAAATTCATTCAAGAGGCCAGTCTGCCTGTGTCAGAGCGGATGGAAGCAATCAATGCAGATAGCAAAGCCTGGATCAGACTCTTCGGTGGAAGAGTCCCTGCGTAACAGAGCTAGAGAATGGGCGACACTCAGCGAGTGGTTACGGGCATCTCATGGTGAGACATGGCCTGGCAATGTTGGACGCATTTTGCGTTATCTCGAAGAAAGGCATGAGATCAAGCCCATAGGCAAGTCTGTCCCGAAGGCGCTTCTTGCTTCGGTTTCGCTGTTGGAAACGATTGGCCAAGTTGCTCCTGACGCGAGATTCAGTTGCGACCCTATCCTAGTGGAGACAGTTCGTTCCTGGACAGCTGATTTGGAAGCGGCTCCGGGGGTCAGGCAGGCGCCACTTTATACGATCGCAATCATGCTGTCAATGGAGCTGCTGCTTGCGCAACTTCTCAAGCTTTGGGACTGCGGTTTGTGGCATTCTGTGGATTGCTGATGACTTGGTCAACTTTGCGAGCAACATGTGGATTTGAAGTCGGTCAGGCTTTCCCAAGTGGGGCTGAAGTTTTGTCTGCGAAAGACTAAGACTAGTGGGCCTGGACGCAAGGTCGGCGAGCTTTTTGCTTATGTTTCTCGTTCAGCTGGCCTTAGCGGTTTCGACTGGTTGACAGAGGGCATGCGTCTACTATCAAATGAACAGTTGTCTTGGTCGCGAGATTTCTTCTGCCCTGCGATGAATGACGCTTGGGAAGTGCAGAAGAACACGATCTTGGAGGCCGAGGGTCTAGCTGTGTTGCTGCGCAGGATGTTGGGTTGTCTTCGCGAGCCGACCGTGAAGAATGGTGCGTGGGCAACTTCTAGAAACCTTCTTGTGCCGGATACATTACGAACTTATTGGAGTGGCCATAGTGCTCGTCACACTTTGCCAAGCATTGCTGCAGCATTGGACGTTGGAAGGATCGTCGAGATTCCCTCGGCCGTTGGTGCTATGCACAGCATGGTTCCCAGGACTATATCTTGACTTCGCGCCAGGTGGTGCATGGCATTCAGAATCTGATTTCGAAGACTATCTTGGAAGGTAGTGCTGACGGAGGTTACATCGAAGAGGAGGTTCTCGCTGGAGTGAAGCAAGCTTGTGCTGATCTGGCGTTGGACCAATCGGTCATCCTTCGGAGGCATATGGTGTCAAAATGGGATGCCACTGCAAAATGTTGGAAGCTTCATGGGAGGTATCCTCATTTCATGATCCCCCCGGAGCAATTGCAAGGGGCCTCTGGAAACATAGGGGCTCAGTTGCCGGGACCTTTCCACGCATGGAGTGCTGAGGAGAGTCTTGGCGAAGCCCCTTATTTTGTGACTGTGTCGCGCAAAGGTCACAGGCGGCTGCATCTTGCTAAGGCATGTGCTGTAAGGCAGGAGAGATGTCTAGAGACCATTGGCATCTTCACTTTGGAGGAAGCGGCTGCAGATTCCATTTGTAAGCTTTGCAAGCCCAAGTTGGCCAGCGCTGCCAGCAGCTCAAGCAGTGGATCTGAGGATAGTAACGTCGTAGATTTGCAGGCTGAGGCACCAGCGGCTCCGGTGGGCATCAGGCGGGGATTGAGTGACTGCTTGCAAAGAAAATTTTGCACTTGCATTTGCTTTTGCGGTCGACTGTTTTGATGGCAAGACTTTTGCATCTGCCTTGTTCGAAGTTATCCGGTTGTCCATTGTGGTAAATGAGTGTGCCTGGCACATTTGGCTCGGGTCGAATTGAGCTCTTGGTTTGTATGATGCAAGTCCTTTGGACTTGAGAGAGAAGCCCCCGGTCGCAAAAGGGCAAGAGAGCTGTGCTCCAAAGAGTTTGAGTGGTCGCTGAAACCCTCGGTCGGAAGGGGGAAAGTCTCAGGTTCCCATGAGTGCAGTGGATCTCCCGGCAGGTGTAACGCAGGACGCTGCTGTGGATTACTTTGAGAAAAATCTGACTACTGAACTGCTCCACATCTTTAATGAATGTGGGGTTCCTGTCGGGTTGCAGTACAAGCTTGGTCAGCATTTCAAGAACGTGAAGAAATTCTCTACTTATGCTGATAGCAGGTCGGATGTGAGAGCTGCGCTTAAGGCAGATCATGCCCTTGAGGCCACCAACCAAGACACACGTGCAGCAGTGGCCTCAGTGGTTTCAGCTTGGGAGTCATGCCGTGAGTTCAGTGCGAAGGAGAGTGAACTCAAGGCAGAAGCCAGGGTATTGGGAGTCAGCCGGCCAATCACCCAAACGGAGCATCAAGCCATGCGAATCTCTTACGAGAAAACTTTTGGCAGTCTCGATGAAGTGGTTGAGCCGTCGGCTGATTATCTTTCGACTGAAATGGAAGAAGTCGAGAATGGTGAGATTGTGGCGTCGCCCCTATCAGATGTCACCAGCAAACGCAAGGTTAAGACCCTCGGCGTACAAACCAGTGTTGACGCTGGAGGGCACGTCAGGATCGTTAAGCAGCGTAACAAAGGATCGTTGCCACAGAATACAGAAGATCTTCGTACTGCTTTGCGCGTGGAAGGAAACACGTGGGTGTTCCTGGGAAGTAAATACAAGAACAAGGTCTTCTTCAAAGATCTGACGCCATCTGTCTGGCTTGATTACAGCAATTACTTGTTGGGTGACAAGGTGTATCTGATGCAGATCCCCTCGCCATCAGGGAAAGGCAAGTCGGAGCAGGTGGCTTTGCGTCCTCCCTGGACAGTGATGATCAATTACGAGTTTGAGCTACGAAAGGAGGCCGTGAAACGTGCCTTTCGAGACAGTCGGGCTCTCAAGGACACTCTGTTGGAGGTGCAGAATGATGCCCAGCTGAAAGAGCAGTTCTTCACATCGCCGATTGCGTTGCAGCATCGTGGCATGCCTGCCCCGAACACGTGGTGTGAGCGTCCCAGTGGACAGCCGTGGAAATGGCGTCGCAATGACAAGGGACCTGGCAAAGGCAAAGGCAAAGACTCCAACAAAGGAAAGGAACAGAAGGGCAAGAAGGGTAAAGGGCAAGGCCACGGCGAGCTTGCCAGCCGCACCCCGGATGGCAGGATGATATGCTTCGCTTACTCAACGTCGGGTTGTCCAGGCGATTGCGGGATGGTTCGTTGCTGTCAGGTTCGTGGATGCTTTGGACAGCGTCCAACTTGGAAGCATTGGCAGGAGCACTTTGCAAAGGCGAATGCCAAAGCCACGGACAGCAACAACTGACTCCGCGTGCTGTATCTTTTTGCTGGGCGCGTGCCATTTGCGCGAATTCAGTTCAGATCCATGGCTTTCATCTTGAAGTGGACGAGTGGGACATCCTTAGAGATCCCAAGGCTGACCTTTCATCACCGCAAGCGTGGGAAGGCATTTTTGCCAAGCTCGAATCTGGTTCCTACGATGTGCTTGTGCTCTCACCGCCCTGTGGCACGTACAGTCGGGCACGCCATCGCACCTTAGGCAAAGGCGGTCCAGTTCCTTTGCGCAGCCGCGCGTATCCCTGCGGATTCCCGTACCTTTCAAACACCAATCGACTGAAGGTAGATTCGGCTAACTTCTTTGTTAAGCAATCTCTGCGAGCAATTGGCGTGCAGATTCAGGCATCAAAATTTTGGTTGCTGGAGCATCCGGAGGACTTAGGTCGGACAAAATCCGGAGAAGTCCCTGGGAGCATCTGGCAGCTGCCCGAAATACATGATGTGGTCTCCCAAGGAGGCACAACATGGGCCATTCATCAGTGTGTTTTCAAAGCTGAAACATCCAAGCCTACACGCTTTGCCAGCAACTTGACTGCCTTCTTGCACTTGAAGTGTTCATGGCCTTGGTACGACCCTCAAGGATATTACTTAGGTCCTTGGTGCCTGCCCCCACGGCTCCCATGCTCCTCTAGTGGGTTTTAAGGATGGTCGATTTCTCACGTCAGTGCCGAAGCCTATCCACCTCTCCTGTGTAAGCACCTGGCACCATCATAGCCCCGAGCACAGGCGAAGTGTCAATGCATTCTTCGGCAGAAACGCTTGCGCGCAAACTACTGGGCGCTCCAGAAATCCAGCTCGCGGAAGCCTTGGCCTTGGCTTGGCTTCTCCCCAGAGAGGACGTGCGCAAAGCCACGCAGGCAACTCAGGGTGGCGCTTTCTATGCCGGGCCTTTTTGTGTGGGGGAATCTTCGGTCTACGCGCCACCTGCAATTCACACCCCTCTTCGATCCAATGCTTCACGAGACTTCTGCGCGCTAACTTCCCTAATCTTGTCTTTACTTCCTTCGGGCTCTTCTTCAATGTGCTGACCGCCATGCATCGTGACTCTCGCAATGCGGCATTTCCTAGTCCTAATCTCCTGCTTAGCTTGTCAAATTTCACCGGAGGCGAGGTATGGCAAGAGGAACCAGGCAGCCCGGTGCTCCGCTCCGTCCAGGGAACCCTGACGGAAGGCAAGTTGCTTGATGTCGCTAGGTCGCCCCAGGTGCTGCAAGCGCATCATCGTTTTTCACTGCACCGAACCTTGGTCTGGCGACCGGGTTGTTCTTGTGGGGTTCTCTGTGGACTACTCCGGCTTGCAGCGTTCTGAAATTTGCCAACTTCTTGAACTTGGATTCGTGTTGGTTCCGACTCCTGCGGGGAAGGGGGGTTTGTCTGAACCACACCAATCTTTTCCTCCGCTTCCTCCTATCTTCGCTTCAGGTGCACAATCCTCGCAGGTTGATGGTGGAGAGCAGACTGCTTATACGTTGCAGGTCAGGTCAGGCCCAGGCGCACAAGGCCAGTCGTCTGGTTTGACTGCCCCCTGCAAACAAGTGCCATGCTCAGGTGCCCAGGTCAGGTTAGGTCCAGGCGCACCAGGCCAGACACCAATTTGTATCCAGTGCAGGTGCCCAAGGTCAGGTGCCCGGTGCACAGGCGGAAGGTGTGCTAGCCCAGGATTGCGCAGGCGCTTGAGGTCAGGTGGGCAAGGCTCATGCAAGGTCAGGCGCCCCGCGTTCAGACCGAAGGTTGCACAAGCGCCGAGAGTCAACGTCCATCGCAGGGAGCGAATATGGTCCAGGATATCTCCTCGGAGGAGGACGCGGGAGGTGCTCGAATCTTATTGTTTAGCCCAATACCGTCTGTACCATCGTGCAGGGGTCTCACTTCCCCGTTAGGTTTGGCGACCGCGCCCATAGCAGCCACCAATAACTTCCGCGGCCCGAACTCTGCCTCCACGGCTGCTTCAGTGGTGGGGAGCATGAGGCCTGCCAACTCATCTTTTCGGAACTGCTCTTCGAGTTGGGCAGATGACAATTCAGCCGAGGAGTAATTGGCCATGTCCGGCTCGAAATCTGTGATGTCCAAAAATCTGAAGTTGACCCTCTTCCGGAAAACCTGTGGGGTGCGCGGGATCGGCTGCTCATCCCCTAATGGAACACCTTCAACGAAAGACGCCTCCCCATCAACAAGGATCGCAGCATCAGGGTCCCCTAAGATGACCAGTGACTGATGCAACAGGTGAAGCCAAAATGGCTGGCCCTCCGGGCGCTCCAATGCCAAATTAGGGTCAGGCAACAACGACGCCAGCTTTTCCCTCAGGGAATCCAGACTAGCAGGACTGAGCGGAGAAACCTTGAGGTGACCTGACGCAAGCATGAATGCGGCCTTCCTGGGGTCAGGCAGCTCTGCTACTACAAAGTCTCTCAGTAGCCCTTGCAAAGCCCTTGCATGCTCCAACTCAACCTCAGAGCAAAGCCTTCCCCTCTGGAGCGGCCTCCATCTACCCGGCGAGCAGAGACCAAAACCGTCTACAAATTCGGGGCTGCCCGCAGAATGATGGCCGCGCTAGATCGCGAAAGCAAGGAGGCGGTATTTGCCATTTCAGCAGATATCGCCCAAGCACACCGCAGGGTGCGGGTGCGCAAATCAGACTGGCCCAAGCTAGGGTGCCGCGCATCCTCATCCGCGCGCGCGATCTGGTTAAATAAGGTCGGTACTTTCGGAATATCATCAGCGGCCTACTGGTGGGCTCGACTATTTGTACTGGTAGGCCGATGGGTGCTCCGTCTTATGCTCACGTCATTTAATCTTCAGATGGTCTATGTGGATCACCTTCACTTGTTAACGGCCGGCGCGCAGAAATTTCTCAACCTCTGGGTTATTTTAGTCGCGTACGAAGTGATTGGTACTCCCTTCGCATACCATAAATTTAAAGGAAGCAACTAAGAGGCAAAAGCTGGCGGAGAAGACCAAGTGGTAGCATGTCATTTTCCTTTGGGTTACACCCCACGCCTTCAGTCGGGCTCTGTTCGTGTGGTTCCACCCTTGAACCGTCAGCGTATGGTTGTGGTTGAAAGACAAGGTTGGATCCGCGCCACCATTCAAAAGGAGTGTGATTGCAGTGCATCTTTTGATATGCATCTTTTGATTGATTATCTTGATTGGAGCTTCGTGAGGAAGATTTTGATTTTGATATGATTTGATTGGATGCGTATTAATCCGAATACGTTTATAAAGATACCCATCTGGCTCAATCCGTTCTGACCAGCTCCTTGGGTCTCCCAATGGGTTTGTCAGGGAGGATTAGCTGGGTGGGTGGGTGGGCCCTCTTAGGTTTGGTTATGCATCCTTATGCCTGGCGAAAGCCTGAGGAAAATTTAAAAACCTTTTGCCGAATTTAGTTTGGTTGGCAAACTCCATGCTTGAGTGATTTGATCGCATGCCTATTGCTTGACACTTGATGTTTTCGGTGATTTATGGCACAAGATTCAATTTGGTTCCCACCCAACCCGCCCTGTGTGCAAGCTGGATGCCCGTGTCTTTCCCAGCTTCCTTTTAGGTGACTTGTGCCTAGGGTTTATTTAGGCTTGAACCGTGAAGCGGATTACTTACAATCCTTCAGAAGGCGCAACGTCAGCAGACTTGTAGCGTGCAGATACACAGTCAGACTCAGCCGAGTTGTACAGGACTGTGTGCGTAGTGAGCCCCCTTTGGTCTGGTGTGGTTGCTTGTTCGGGCTCTGTTCGTGTGGTTCCACCCTTGAACCGTCAGCGTATGGTTGTGGTTGAAAGACAAGGTTGGATCCGCGCCACCATTCAAAAGGAGTGTGATTGCAGTGCGTCTTTTGATATGCATCTTTTGATTGATTATCTTGATTGGAGCTTCGTGAGGAAGATTTTGATTTTGATATGATTTGATTGGATGCGTATTAATCCGAATACGTTTATAAAGATACCCATCTGGCTCAATCCGTTCTGACAAGCGTTGGGTGTGCAAACTGCAAGCATAGAGTACCAACGTCGGTTGCAGGCCCCAGCCACACGTGTTGGGTCTGTGTTCCATCCAAGCCAGCTGCCGATGACGTTGCAGAGGTTCAATCAACGCAAGCCTTTGCTCAAGCAATCATTTCAGGTTCGCGTTGCGTAGACTTCGGGGCCCAAAATTTGGCCCTCTCAGGTCCTGCGCGTTGGCAAGATTTACAGAGACTTGTGAGTGAGGCCCAAAGTTGGGACCTGTCAGGTCCTGTTTTTGGGCACGATTTGCATAGGCTCGGGGGGCCCGAATTTGCAATCTCAGGCCTTGTGTTGAGGCATGATTTACGTAGAATTGGCAGGTCCAGTTTGCCCAGGCAGGTGCACGCACGCAGGACAACCAGGATCAGGACAAGCCTCATTCTTGTCTTTTGTGCTCAGACAAGTCAGGCACAGTCTTGCGTGCCGCAGGCCAGGCTCAGGTCGCCTAAACAGGTGTTGGCCAGGCCAAGGGTGCCAAGGGGTTGAGCCAGGCCACTTACGCGCTTGGAGGTTTCCCTGCAGGCCAGGTCCAGTGTGCCCAGCAAGGCGCAAAGGCGTCAGGGTCAAGCAGGGTCAATGCAAGCCTCAATGCACGTCATTGGTGCGCAAAGGTCAGAGCAGTCTTTAGTACCAGGTCGGCTCCAGGTTGCTTCAGAAGGTGTGGGCCAGGCCGGCCATGATGCCCAGGCCCAGGTAGTTTCCGGCCGGCGCCTTGCCACCTGATCCAGTACATAGGCCTGCGTGGGTCGTGTGTGCTGCCTCCCTCTTGTGTGTGGTGTCACGCGGACTGACCAAGGCGTCGGGCGTAGGGGATTAGAGTGATTAGAGCGCTCCTTCTTTGGCCTTGGTGGGATCTGTAGGGGGGATTGGATACATGCATGCAGCTTTGCCTCAAATCTTTCATGCATTATTCCACCAATGCCAAAAAAGGTGTGACTGCATTTGGAATGCTGCTGATACTTGAATTGAT